GGAGCTGAGTGATGCACGCCGCTTGTTCGAAGAAATGCCTGGGAGAGATTCGGTTAGTTGGAATACGATATTGGATGGGTATGTGAAGGCTGGGGAGATGAATGAAGCCTTTGAATTGTTTGAGAAAATGCCTCAGAGGAATGTTGTCTCGTGGTCGACTCTGGTTTCTGGTTATAGCAAAGCTGGGGATATGAGTATGGCAAGAATGATGTTTGATAGGATGCCCTTCAGGAACTTGGTTCCATGGACTATTATTATATCTGGTTATGCCGAGAAGGGGCTTGCGAAGGAGGCGATAATGCTATATGATCAAATGGAGGAAGCTGGATTGAAGCCTGATAATGGTGCTGTTATTAGTATATTGGCCGCTTGTGCAGAGTCTGGTTTGATTGGATTGGGTAGGAAAGTTCATGCCTCAATTGAGAGGACTCAGTTCAAGTGTAGTACTCCTGTGTCGAATGCTTTGCTTGACATGTATGCCAAGTGTGGTGTGTTGGATGAAGCATTTAGAGTCTTTGATGGGATAGCAAAAAAAGATTTGGTGTCTTGGAATGCCATGCTCCAAGGGTTAGCCATGCACGGGCATGGCGAGAAGGCTCTTGAGCTTTTCTCTCGAATGGTGAAAGATGGGTTTTTTCCGGATAAAGTTACCTTCATTGGGGTCTTATGTGCTTGTACACATATAGGATTTGTGGAGGAAGGTCTTCACGCTTTCAACACGATGGAGAGGGAGTATGGGATTGTACCTGAAGTTGAGCATTATGGTTGCATGATTGACCTTTTGGGTCGTGGTGGGCATCTCCAGGAGGCTTTTAGGCTTGTGCATAGCATGCCAATGGAACCGAATGCTGTTATATGGGGTACCCTTTTGGGGGCATGTCGGATGCATAATGATCGGGAACTAGCAGAGGAGGTGCTTAATCACCTAGTTAAGTTAGACCCGTCTGAACCAGGAAACTTTTCCATGTTGTCAAATATCTATGCTGCAGCTGGTGACTGGGCAAATGTTGCTAATGTAAGGATGCAAATGAGGAGCACCGGAGTCCAGAAACCTTCTGGGGCTAGTTCCATCGAGGTGGACGACGAGGTCCATGAATTTACAGTTTTTGATAAATTACACCCTAAATCTGACGAAGTGTATGGGATGATCGACAGACTTCGTGTGGATTTCAAGCAATTGAATGTGTCATCGCGGAGTATTAGCAATGGGATAGGTGGATAAACTGTGAAAGACATTTATTTGGTGAGCATCAGCTGACTTAAACTTGGCCAGAAACACTTCTGCAAGTCTCCTAATTGGAAAATTCCCAAGGGGAAACTTCTCACCAATGTTCTTAGATTATAAACTTGTATACTTGTTGATAAATAGAAGGGGATCAATCGTTTGATTTGTTGCTTATGTGTATCAGTAGATTGGAATTAACCTCTAACAATGATCAATGCCATTTATTTTTATCAGTGAGATAATAAGTTTGTTACTGCCTTACTGTGTCACAATAGTACAATTCTTGCAGAGAGCTGGGGAAGTGTCTACAGGTATAGCACCGTATCCATATCACTGCTTGTCACTGCTCTGCCATCAATTCCAAATTTAGGAAATAATATCGCAATCAAACAGCGGGAAAAGGGGATGAGAAAGGATCGCTCTTGCTGATATGCTGTAAGTTGTAACTCAACCTTGAATTTCTTAACGAAATTATGTTATCTTAAAAACAATTGTACATCGAACTACTGTGTTGTAAGCTATTTCATTCACAGAAGAAAAACTTATCTTAAAAACAATTTGCCATGCATTTTAACTTTTTAACATAATAGTGTGTTATTGACTTAGAATACTGATACAGTAACATCCGTCAAATAACTCCTCCGTTCCATCTAACAAGTTATTGTGCTTCAAAGTTTGGTGAGCAAGTGCCCAACAAACAACTGGGTACAAGTATGACACGTCACCCAGATTGGTTTGATTGATTAGAAAATCCCCTTACGCACAAATGAGGAGGAGGTCCCTGTCCTTTTGTGCCATTTTTAAAGTCATATCCACTGGCCCATACTTTGAAAGCTTGCAAATTAGAAAGTAATATCCAACATGGATTGGGATTGGATTAAATACCACCATGTGGTGCACATTTATTCTCACTCATTCAGTCTTTGCATATATTATCAGCTTATATATCAGTGTATGATCTGCTCTTTTTTTCTTGCCATCTGTGAAGCTTTGATCTACCGTCAAAAGTTCATCAATGGAAGCTTGTTTTCTTGCCTCAAATTCCTTCACCAAAACTGTTACTTCTCCCAACAGAAATTTCACTCAATTTCAATCCAAAAGAGTTGGGATTCCATCTTCAATAACATGTAAGTTGTTCTATTGATTTTTTATTTCAAGCAGGGAAAAATTCCATGCTCTTCTTGCATATTCTAACGGGGTTTCTGTCGAATGATAGGTAGCCGCGGGGAGTCATCAACGCCGTCCAACGATGATCACAAACCTTCCATTGATGCAGATTGGCGATCATTCAGAGCAAGACTGGTAGCTGCAGAGAAATCAAGGCCAAAAGAGCCCACTTCAACTTCCTCACTTGATCTTGACACTGTGGTGGATCAGCCTAAGCCCGTCACCGTCGGTGACAAATGGGCTCACGCAATCCACGAGCCTGAAAAGGGCTGCCTACTCCTTGCAACCGAAAAGCTCGACGGGGTCCACATATTCGAACGGACGGTCATTCTGGTGTTGTCCACTGGGCCATTGGGACCGTGGGGCATCATACTCAACCGGCCCTCCCTCATGTCGATCAAGGAAACGCGATCAACCGCTCTGGACGTGGCGGGCACGTTCTCGGACCGGCCGTTGTTCTTCGGCGGGCCGTTGGAGGAGGGGTTGTTCTTGGTGAGGCCCAAAGGGGGTGATGGTGTAGTTGGGAGGAGTGGAGTTTTTGATGAGGTGATGAAGGGGTTGTACTATGGGACAAAGGAAAGTGTGGGGTGTGCGGCTGAGATGGTGAAGAGGAACATGGTTGGGCTTGGGGAGTTTAGGTTTTTTGATGGGTATTGTGGGTGGGAGAAAGAGCAGTTGAAGGATGAAATAACATCTGGTTATTGGACTGTGGCTGCTTGTAGCCCAAGTGTGATTGATTTGAGGAGTGTGGGAAGTGTTGGCCTTTGGGAGAAGGTCCTTGGGCTTATGGGCCGTCGGAAGGTCCGGTGAAATCCATTTGCGGTTGTTGGATTCAATATTGCTAGTATCAGTCGTTCACGTATGTAACAATTATGTACATAATTGACAAGTGTTGATTAATAAGAAGTATGAATCTTATTATAGATCTCACCCTATTTACTTAATGAACAATTGAAATTGTCATGCCAAGCATGATCCTGCGTATTCAATTATATTTATTGAAAAATTTAGAAACAATCTAAAAATAATAAAGTACGATTTTTTTTGTTTTCAAAGGAGAACTTTATTAGAGACTAATTGTAACGTTTACATCTGCGAGAATATGAAAAAGAAACTCAGGACCATAATCATTCATTCAAATTATTTTGTTCTCCTAATTTATAAATTAAAGTAATAACATCAACTCCTCTTTAAAAATGAACAACTGGATAAGTGGATAAACTAAGTTCTACATTTCCACAAGTTATATGGATAAGAACACACAATGATGAGATAGAATCTTCTGCACTCTTTTTGTATGTGGTCACTATGTGACTTATCATTCATTGACATGTGTGAATAAACTTAACTCTCTTAACTTTATTGTCATAAATTTAAAACGTATCAATAAATAATAGAGGTCATAATAAGACCACACACAAAATGAGTACATAAAATTTGATTTCCACGAGGATGGTAATTTGAATTAATGACTTATTTAGTAGATGTAACATTGTGATTTGTTGATTAGCATGGTATTTAACATGTCAATTTGTAGTAATATTGTGCACAGAAAAAAAAAAAACCAAAATGCAAATATATTTGAATATTAAGGATGAAATTAAAATTAAATTTCCAAAAGAATTTGAGTCTTGAGTCTTTGAGTTGACCAATCAGATTTGGACCAAAACAAAAAAAACAAAAGCAAAATCCAAAAAAGCAATCAAAATTTTAAATTGTGTGCAAATAAAAATTTAATACAAAAATGTATCCACTTTTCAAATTTCTCTCTCATATTTGTTTAGTCTGAAGTAGAAGACCTGGAGCCACGCTCTTTTCAACGCAGGTGGAAAAGACACACGGCCACCTCAGACATCAAATGTCACGGTTGGGTTACGTGGCGGAACATGATCACTAGCGTGTATAACACACTCCGAGGCAGATCGAATGATTGTATGGAATCAGCCACTTTCGGAAACTGTTAAGTTGTTGCTTCAGTGAACCCAGTTGTCTCCATCTTTTTAAGTACTTTCTGAATATAAATATATTTGCACCCAAAAAGCACGGAACGTGGAGAGAATCTAGAAAATGTTGAAAACACAGAATTAAGATAATTAAAATATGATTATGTCTTTGACGAGTCTCGTTCTCTCGGTAACTTGGTCTAATCGTAGATGTATAATTATTTGACGAAGAATTTAACATTAAAAGCTGAGATTAAAAATTAAAAATATAGTATTTAAAATTTTCAACTAAAATAGTTATTAAGATTGTTAGAATTCTTTACTTTAGTCCTTGAAATTTAAAATCAATAGAAATAATCTATTAGATTGTTCACCATCAATCATTTTGATCATTATGTGAAAATCTCGCTTAAATTGAAAAATCAAAATATTAATGGTAGATAATCTCAAACTACTCTTATTAATTTTAAATATATGCCAATCTCAAAAATCAATTTAGATAAAAAGCTTAAATGAATATTTCTACCCTTCATATCAAATGGAAAAATGAATAATCATGTATTCGTTGGTCATCGGGTGACCAAGAGAATATATTTCTTTATCTAGCATTTCCTTAAAAACCCATAAAAAAAAAGTTATATTAAATGTGGGAAAAAATCATTGGAGCAAAAGCCAAAGAAGAAGAAAGAGAATTGGGTGGGGGGCATAATATTAGAATAAATGTGCAGACCACAAGTTGACAAATTCCAGTCACTGTTGTTCTTGAACAAGTCATTTGTTGTTGTTGGTTCCTGGGTTCTCTGAGTGTGGGGGAATTAAAAAGGAAAGATCTTTCTGTGTTTGGGATATGGGAAATTGAAAAGGAAACCTCTTTCTCTGATTTTCTCATCAGATTCTGCTCCAGCAGCAGATCTGATTTGCTCTGTGACAGTAATCTCAGTTTTCTTATATATATATATATATATATATATATATATATTTTTTTTTTCTGATTGTTTAATGTTAGTTCAGAACAGAAGTACCTACTTTTGTTGCTGCTGTTTTGTATTGCGGCTGTGAAGTTTGATGGAGTTGGATTGGTTTGTGGGTCATCGGAAATTTTGGTGAATTTGTAGGGCAATCCTGAGAAAGCCTTGTGGAAGATTATTAACCATATGAGGTAATTTTCAATTTTCTGTTTTAATTTTCAATTTTTTAATTTTTTTAATTTAGTCTGCAGATTAATTTGTAATTTAGTTATCTGTCATCTGTTTCTTTATAAATTTCTTTGTATATTTGACTCTCTACATATATAATTATATATGTATGTATGTATATATAATTTTATATCTTTGGATCTGCTGTTTTTCAATCTAGGCTTAGATTTTGGACTCTGTTTATTTCTTAATCCGTAAGATTAACAGTCATAACTCAAATTTTGAATGGTAACTTGGAGTTGCTTGTATCTTAAGATAGTAAATTCTTTCCTTTCGAGAAAATTCAGCCGCGTTTTTTGACCAGAATCTTGGATGGATCATGGACAGGAAAGGAACATTGGGTTGAAATGTGCTAATGTGGAGCTAGGATTAATGATAATCACTAGAAAAAGAAATGCAACTTTGAAATTATGTGTTAAAAGCTAGGCATTTCACTGGTTCTTGCTGATTTACTCTATCTGGTGACTAAAGATTTCGGAACTAGTGAGTTGCGTCGAGTTTCAGTGTGCAATCTGATGATGTGGTTCTGCTGATTGTGTTGACAGTACTGAGGCTAAGTTGAATTCTCACTATATCTAAGTTGATTTTTGCTAATGCTTCTCGGGTTAATTGCAGGAATGGGAACTGAAGTGCAGTTGAAGATGTATTTCCCGGAATATTGTTCCATACAGAATCTAAGCAGCAATGTCGGCCATGGGAGCTGGTCCCTACTCCACGAGAACACAAACTTGAAGAATGGGCAACAATACGAAGTGTTCTTGACAAGGCCAGTTATTGATGGATTTCACGGACACGATAAGGAGCAACTGAGGCAAACTATTCTGAAGCATGAGACAATTTTCAGGCATCAGGTGTATATTCTAGAACCTATATATGTTGAGTTCTAAAGTGTAGTAATGGTCATAGATCTTATCGTAGTATTTAGAAAGATTGAATAACGGTTTTATATTGGTAAGAAAGTGTCGAACTTTGAGTGCTCAAATTCGTTAGCCAGTAGTATAATGCCTTTGCCTTTGTCTGTGATTTTCTTATTCAGCTCAATGAACTCCATCGTCTTTACGAAAGGCAAAAGGACCTGATGAACGAGATCAAAAGCAAAGAGCTTCTTAAACATCAAAAAGTAGCAGGGATATCACAATCAACTTTCTCATCATCCGGCTTTCCAACTGGAGACGACAGAAAGAGTTGGCATATTTCTAATTTAGCCTTGTTGGATTCCAGTTATGGTAGGCAATCTACATCGAGTACCTGTATCAGCCAACCTCCTCGCGATTCTATTGGAAAAACCCTGCAAAACAGCTGTGTCCCCAGCCAAAGTAGAGTAGGGATGAAGGACTACGAATCTTCGGATTCCAGAGTGAAGAAGCCTCGAAGAAGATTGTTCAATCTTGAACTTCCAGCCGATGAATACCTCAGTGATGAAGAAGAACCAGAAGGAGGTTTGGGGTCGGGAACAGACAAATCTGGCTATAACAATAGTGTGTCGAGCTCTGGTTTGCATTTAGTAAGAAGCAATGGTTTGGCTGATCTGAATGAACCTATTCAGATAGACAAAGTGTCTGCCTCAACTTCTGTCGTTATGTCTGGCAACCAACCGAGCTCCAAAGAGGAGATAGAAAGGCAGGTTTTATCTGCAAATGCGTACAAAGGCGTGTGGCCTTTTGCAAAGAAATTCCCTGAAAACCCACAAACAGGGAAGGATGGAAGAGTTGGTGATCTGCATTTAAAGAATGAAATCCAAAAAGAGTGGTCAACAAATGCTCTCAGAGATGGTAAGGGTCTAGTTATCTTATTTCGTGTTTACTTCCGTTGTGATTCAGATTTTGTACTTAAGCTCTAAATTCCATAATTGTTCAATCTTGCCGCATTACAAGTTTCATTACTTTCAAATTCTTGCCTGCACATACGACTCTTATCAGATGCACGCTGGTCATTATATCTACAAAAGGGAAGGGGGCGGTCGGGCAGGGAGTCTGTCTCTAGAATTCATTTTTAGAGAAGAAACTCTCTTAGTTATTTCATGGTTAGACTACATGAATATATCCCTGGTGAATTTCTTACCATTTATCGACATCACCAAACAAGTAGTTAATCATGTTTCCTCCATCGTTTAGTTTACTGCTAATAAGGCTCAAGATTGGAAAATCTTACAAAGGGTTGCAGTTCTCTTCATTTTGGACTAACGGATTGATATGCTTTTTTTCAGAGCAAATAAGAAGTTCTTCTGGCGGAAAGTTTGGTCTTCAAGATTTTAATAAGCCATGTGAATTGTCAGAAAACGAAGCTACGGTAACCTGTGCTCCTTCTGCTAAGCTTTTCACTTCTGATCAGAATAAAACGGAGAAACAAATAAAGAGGACACTTTTTGGTATAGAAATCTCTGAAAGCGATATAAGTTCATCTGCTATGACTTCGCAATCTGGTGCAGCCATTTCCGAGTCATCTCCTAATTGGACAATACCTCCAAGTAGCTTGAGCGAGAACTTAACATCAATTCAAGTAAGCACTTCCGTTAATACCTCCACACAATCTAATAGGGCTTCAATCATGATGCCACAAAGCAGTGAAGTTACCCGGGACAGATTGCTTCTTGACTGTAATTCAATACCGTCAACTCCCAGTCTGAAAGACGAAGTGTCACACCAAAGCAGTTTTTTCTTCCGCACTAAGTTGGAGGCCAATCAATTACAGGCTTGGCACCCCTCAATGAGCCTTGGCTGCCAAGGGAACCATTCAACGTCAGGTCACCGGGTGGATGTCAAACCTGCTATTGATGTGAATGATGTTCCTCCTAATAAATATCTGCATGGAGGAGCTTGTGAACAAAATATAATTTCTCTCAATGGGTTGAGGAACCAAGAAAGCCGACAAGGAAGATTGCATTGGCTTGAAGCACTGCCACTTTGTGATGGCAAATCTTCCAGAGAAATTGAAAGCAGACGCACGTGTAGAGGGCAACTGAAAGCAGGCGGTCTGGTTCTAGACAAGGGATTTTCAAATGAGAATTCTGATCCAAGACACCAAATAGATTTAAATAGATGTTTAACTGAAGAAGAAACTGAAATGACTGCTGCTTCCCCAGTTATGAGGGCAGAAATTGTGACAGATTTGGAGGCACCTCTTGACTCACCCCATGAGGGCTTTATCAGAGTTGCAGCCGAGGCTCTAGTTGCCATCTCATCATCCCAAGCTCCCGATATGCAGGAAAAAGCCACTTGTCGCAATCTGGAGGCTTCAGAAAACAACTCCCTTCTTTGGTTTGCAGAAGTAATTTCTTCACATGATGGAAATCTTGACAATGGAAATGCAGCAGAGGTTAAGCAAACTTCCTGTGATGAAGAGGCTTTTCCCGTTGACATGGATTTTTTTGAGCACATGACATTAAATTTGGTGGAAACCAAAGAAGAGCAGCAATGTTATGTGCCTCCAAATTCAGACAGCCTCACAGAAGAAGCGACATTGTCGAAACGGCCACGAAGAGGCCAATCGAGGAGGGGGAGGCAACAGAAGGATTTCCAGAGAGATGTACTTCCCAGTCTTGCTTCTTTGTCAAAAAATGAGGTGATCGATGATCTTCAAATAATTGAAGGGTTGATTAGGGAATCTGGTGGGAATTGGCAATCAAGTTTGTCAAAAAGAAATTCTGGTAAGGGTGGTAGGGGAAGGGGGAGGAAACGTATGGACACTCCCATACCGTCTACTAATGTGGCTGAAGTTTGCCAGCCCCAGATTGAGCAACCAAAATGCGAGGAGCTGCAGGGACCTGAGGAGAGAAATTTAACTTGTTGGGGTAAGAGGACAAGGCGTCCACCACGGCAAAGATAGCCGATTGATAATTCTCCTATTCCTCAAAAATAAACATGGAGAGGTCCTTTCCGTAGAGATACTGAAGTTCATCGGAGTAGAGTTAACATGCGTGGATCTGCCCTCGAAGTTTTTAAGCCGTGGAGTTGTAATTGTACACAATCCTTAATTTGGTTTCCGGTATTCTGAGTGAACTTGTAAGATTAGTCAAAATAAGTTTACAGAAGAATTTGTTGAACTAAGAGAGTGTAACATAAACTGCAGGATCCTTCGAACTCAGAACCATGAGCAATTCTGTTTAGCAATATACGCTTCACTTTAGGCAATTCAGTTTAGCAACATAGAATATTCAATTTAGCAATATAGATTATTGACTGTGGAAAAATGCTGTTTCGAAGAAGTGTCCGACATTGACAAGAAAAATACAAAAAACAGAGCTCTTGTTTTTCGTATAGATTATTGATTGTGTGAAGGTGTGACGAGTCTTCTATCTTAATTTTGTATTTGTATTTCTGCGTATGGAAGTGTCATATTTTTTTGCCTTCTACTTGTGGAAAATGATAGGGAGACCAGAAGAACTGATTAATGATGCTTTCCTCATATTGTTTGTAGATTCACAAAGAAAACTTGAAGCATCACGTGAAAACAAATGGGTGGCAACCATGGCATGGCGCTCATGTTGCAAGAAAATTTAACTCATGGATGGATTTATTTTATTTTATTTTAAATGTTGGTAACTACAAATGTGTCTTCGAAACATATTATAAGGTTTTCTTTAATTTTCATGGATGTATTATAAATAATTTCCTCTTTGTTAGGTTTTTGTTCCTTTTTATTTTTTTTGGTTCCCTGCATGTTTGTGAGATGCACTGCCTATGGAGAAGAAATACTAAAAAGAAGGGAAAAAAATAGAAAGAAAAATAGTTAAGCAATTCAGTACTGAGTAACTGAAACGTTAGAGAAAAAAAGCCTAACAAAAACAAGAAGTTTGCTTGGTGTTGAAATTTAGAGGAGGCCAATGCCAGAGTCAATAGTCAAAACGTGAATAAAAAAAAAAGAATGAAAGGGAGTTAGCTTGACTTTGGACTTTAATGCAATTAATTAACCACAATACGTACACGGTATAGCTTTAGCTATTACAAATTACAATGAAGAACAACTACTGCAAGACGATTTTAGAGGCGCTACACTGTAATATAAAAAATAAAAAAAAAAATCTCTTGCGAGGGGGAGTGGAACAACACATATAAAACATTACTTTATGCAAAATGAAAACAAAAAACTAATTTGTATCTCAATTTTTTTTTACTGTCATCACAGATTAACTATGTTAACTAATCTATGTTGTAGATACTACATATACGTATATTACAAAAGTAGATGAGGGCCTCAATTGGTAAAGAAAACTGATACTACATGTACATATATTACAAAAGTTGATGAGGGCCTCAATTGGTAAAGAAAACTGAAATTTGACATGAAATGAGAAAGAAAAGTCTGATGAGATAATACAGGGAAAGTATTTTGTCTTCCATGTTGGTTTCACGAACATTTCCTATTTATTATTTTTATTTTTATTAAGAAGTGAGTCCCTACGTGGACAATTTTCGAAGGTAGTTTACTTATCTTCTCCTAGACTGCTGCGGATGTTATTCCAACATCTCCTGCACTTGCACTTGCACCATTCGGCTGATCGGATCCCATAACCAACTCTTTCAATTTGTCAAACATTCCGGACGCAGTAACTTCTGCACTCGCACCAAAATTCATGAAGAACTCTTTCAGTTTGTCAAACATTCCGGATGCAACAACTCCTGCACTTGCACCAATATTCATGAACAACTCTTTCAGTTTGTCAAACACCTGAAGAAGCTGTTCACGTGCTCTCTGATACAAACTTTTCAAAACATCTGCAATTTCATGGTAGGAATTTGTTACTGCAATCACAAGGCAAATGCTCCATGCTGCCATGGCGAACCACCCCAAAGCTGGAACGATGATCAACAATTCTAAGGTTATGGCGAGTGTTCCAGACCAGAGGCTAATCTTATCCATGAAGTCAGACAAATCTGGATTTTCACGAGCTGGGAATATCTTGACCGACAGTGCCCATGAACTGATGTAAACCACAATAGCAACAATCAAAGCCACCAACATGTCGTATTCCGTGGACAACAGATATTCTGCAGCCCCAGCTCCGTACCTAAGCTGGATAAACCCGGCTAGCGTGGGGATGGCAAAAATAATACGCTTGTGCAATGCCTTTGAAGAACTTTGACGATCATGTTCCCCGGCCTCGCTTGTGCTATTTTATAAATATATGGTTAGAAAATTATATTGGGTTATAAGCATTTTCCATCTAGGTATATAGTGATAAACATTTTAGGCGTATCATGGTTCACCACAAGCATCACCAATACGGTTCAAATTTAAGCACCTATTACTAGGTCTTGAATTTTATCATAAAATGCTTTGGTGATTTAGAATTGAAATCTCCCATATTTTCAATGTGAGATTCTAACATATAATTTTTCTCACCGCATAATGTACAATGAATGGACATGATTGCTTGATTCCCGGGATCCCCACAAAGAGGATCCGGCAGGGATCCTTTTCCATTTACAAAGTGTTAATATTGTACATCTAAATAACATTGATTGAACAAATCAAATACTCAGTTGGGAACTTTCTACTTATTTTTTGCGAAAGAAAAAAAAAATTATACTTAATCTTTATAGTTCAACATTTTCTTTTGTTGGAAATATTATGCAATCCCATTTCAAGCCCTCTTAGACAAAATTCTAAGCTCGACGCGATGATAAATGAAAGCTTTGGTTGCACCTACGTATTCTGCCACACATTTAATATGTGGAGTTTAATCTAAAGGAAAATACTTTCATCAACTCCATAAGGTGCATCATCTTAATCTATCTCATGAGATTAACCTATTTTTACCACGAATTTTATAATTAAAAATTTTCATTTTCTTGATTATTATTTAAAAACCGTCTCTAAAAAAAATAAGGCTAAATTTTTTTATTGATCCCTGTGGTGAGACATTACTTTTAAATCGACCCATGTGGTGAAAAAAGTGTTAATCTTAACTCTATGGTGAAGTTCGTTATCAATCGTAGTCCAAATTGAAATTTCTGTCAAAATCTCATCCACATGCAGGGGTAAAAAGGTCATTCCATTCTTTTTCTTATCTTTTCTTTTTGGTAATTCCACTTTCTTATAATCAACAAAAAAAAGAACGAAAAAAGAAGAAGAAATCCCTTCCCAATCCCTACCCTTTGTTAGCCATAGCCACAACGACCACCCACCACCTTCCCCCCTCTCTCTCACATAACCCTAGCTATCCCGTCCACCAATATTCTTCTTAAAATGAAATTAAATTCAATGTTTGCATAATAGCTTATATTCTAACCTAATATTTTTTAAATCTTGAATTTGGACTCTTGGCCCTCTTGATATGAGAAAGTATGTTAATATGAACCTTGTAATTTTATTGTTTACTTTTTTTTATTGTAGCTCTAAAAGTTAAAAAAAAAAATTATGTCCATATAGCGCTTTATGATTGGTTGATGGAATCAATAAAAACGAAAATAACAATTTTGCCCCTACAAATAACATAAGAATGAGGAAAAATCCAATTTGGACTATGATTGATAACAAATTTCACCACAAGATTACAATTAATAGCTTTTTTCATCACATAGATCTATTTTAAAGGTATCACCACAAGGATCACGAAAAACAATTGGTTAAAAAATAAAAAATAAAAACAGGGGATTGTTTTTTTATCATTTATATGCAACATTTTAAGATTTCGATTTAATTATTATTTTTTTTGTAAAGATAATTATTATATAATGATTAAAAAATGAATTATTCTAATCTTAAAAATTATATAGTGACAAATATGTTAATTGCAAGTATATTTCTCGGATATAAGTAATTTTGAAATCTAAATAGTCGCAGATCCAATGGTATTGAAAAGTTCATGGCCACAAAGGCTAGTTTCTAAAACAAGAAGAAGTGTGATTGCAAAAATACTTGTTCATGTGACAAGAAGTAGTAGTAGTTTAAAGTTTATTAGAGCAGCTAAGAAGCTAGATATAGAGGATGTACTTACGCACGGCGAGATGATAAAGACGGACCTGGATTGTCTCTCCCTCATTCCATACCGTTATATTCCCTCATATTTCTGTGGTTACGGTTAAACCATGTTAACATTTTATATTTTCATTGCTTTTTGTTTTATTATTTTTATTAAAAAATCAATATAAAATGTTGACGTGGTTTAATCGTGATCACAAAAATAGAAAGGGATGGAAAAAGTATGGGATGGGAAGGGCAGACAATCCAGATCCGATAAAGACAAAGGGGTGCTACTGCTCACAGTCACTGCAGTTCGGTTGCCAGCTGCTTGAATCACGAAACTCTCAGTGTTGTACAAAGCCATTTCTCTATATATAATTTCTGACAGGTTTACGATGTTTACCATGGGACAGGAATGGAGGAGTTGGGTGATTAGTTTGGAAAATTTGGAGGATTTGGAGGGCGTAAGTGGGATGGTGACATCCCGTGAATTTACGGATTTATCCCAAGATTGGGAGTATATAAAGTAAGCTGCTGAAAAGACATCCCGTTTGGGAGTATGTAAGTAAGTTGTTGAAAGACATCCCGTGAATTTACGGATTTATCGCAAGACGATATGTAAGTAAGTTGTTGATAAGACATCCCGCCTCGTCAGAAAGATTGGGAGTAATTTTTGAGAGCCCATCTGACAGGGTTATGATTTAATTAAGGGAGACTTTAGATGTGGTTCTTAATGATGAATATTCTTTAATTGAAATCTTGTTGGTTTTTAATTTTTTATCCAAGTCCTTGACATTAATATGATAATTCATTTATATGTACGTTACTATATTTTTTTAAATTAAAAATTGAAATTTATAGTTGTTTATATTGATGGATTTTAAATAAAAACCATAATTTGTGGGATTAAAAATATTAAAATATAAATATACTGTTGTGTGTGTATATATATATAAATGGGTACATTCATCAAAATTAACCAAAAAATTATTGTATCAAAACATGTGTACATTCTTCAAAATCACAAAAAAAAAAGATATTAGGCTTAATAAAATTAGTAAATTTTTTCGATTAAACTTAACATGGATACATTCTCAAATCAAAGAAAAAGAATGTACCCATATAATTAAGTTTAAAAATGGATTAGAAAAAAAAATTGAATCGATTTTATATAAAAAAATGGTACATTTTACATATAAAAAATTGGTATATTTAAGAATGAGTACATTTTAAGATTTAAATTTTGAAAAAAAAATTACATGAATGGTACATATAATTAGCATGGGTACATTTACCAAAATTAAAAATGGGTACATATAAATAAAAAAATATGGGTACAAATTAAAATTGTAA